CTCTAACCCATTATCGGTCCTAAGGGTTTTAACCTTCCTGCCAGTTTGGTTTTCAACTAGGGTTTTCCACTCCCTAAACCTCACAAACACATCAGACTTGTGTTCTAAAAGGCAAACCCACACCTTCCTAGAAAAGTCATCAATAATAGAAAGGAAATATTTCCTACCCCCCGTGGGTAGGAACACTGGCAGGACCCCAAACATCGGCATGAATATATTCAAGCACAGACGAACACTTAGACAAATTAGGGTAAGAGGAAGGAGGGAAACTGACTCTATGCTGCTTGCCTAACACACATGATTCACAGAAAGGCACAGAAGTCACAGAGTCCTTACCAAAATAACCAGCCCTACGCATGACATCTAAACCTTTATTGCTCATATGTCCTAGCCTATTATGCCACAAAGAGGTCTTATCAGAACATACAACATTCACAGATTCAGCAAAAGGTGTAGCATGACACACATAAAGGTTATTCACCTTCTCAGCTTTAAACAAAACAAGCGAGTTTTTCAGAATTTTCATACAACCATTCCCCCATTTTCCCTGTAACCCACTACTCTCCAAAGCAGCAACAGATAACAAGTTATGACACAAATCAGGGACATGCCTCACATTCTTAATGGTAAACACAGAGCCACAAGAAAACTTCAGACATATATCACCAACACCAAGCACATTGCATCTCTTATTATCAGCTAAGGAAACGTAGCCACTATCACATAATTCATAAGTAGAAAACAAATCTCTAAAGGGGGACATGTGATAGGTACAACCAGAGTCAATCAACCATTCATGCTCAGACAGGGAATTTCTCACAGAATTAACATGGTCACAAACCATCAAAATATCACCAAGGTCACATTTATCAACAGCTACACTAGCATGCTCGGTCTTCTTAGGGTGGGGGCAATCCTTAATGAAATGGCCAGCGTTACCACAATTGTAACACACTCTCTTCCTAGATTTACTCCTCTTCCTCCCAGGCTGACTAGCGTTCTTACCCTGACTATTTTGCTTAGAGTTCTTAGACCTACCCTTAGATCTACCCCTAACAAACATAGCCTCACCGCAGTCCCTGGACTGACTAGCACTACCCCTAGCATGCTTCAGGTCTAATTCCTTACTCCTTAACCCATTCACAACAATGTCTAACGAAATCTCATCCCTACCATACTTAATAGCGGACTTAACATCATTATAAGAGTCGGGAATGGCATTAAGTAATACTATGGGAGTATAATCATCTATGTGTTTATCACCTGCCTGTTTGATATTCTGTATCAGTTTATTAAACACATCCAGGTTCTCATCTATATCCTTAGTCAGGTCAAGCCTAAACCTAAAGAATTTCTCTAGTAAGAACAACTTCCCGGGCAAAGAGGTATCAGTATAGAGACTATCCAATTTCTCCCACAACTCCTTAGCGGACTCAAGAATACCCACTTTCCTAAGCACAGAATCAGACAGATTCAAGTAAATAGTAGAACAAGCAGTTTCGTTCATTTCAATTTGCTTAGCCTTATCTTCTGATTCAAGGAAAATACCAGTGACAGCTCTGAAAACTTTTTGCTGTATTAAAACACATTTTATTTTCTGTTTCCAAATATCAAAATCTGTTTTTCCATTAAATGGGAGCATACCATACTGATTCGCAGCCATGGTATCAACCACAACAGAACACAAAGCTAAACAGACAGAATTGACAGAAAATAATCCAACCCGGGTTATAAAGTATTCACTTTAATAACCCCGGGCAGCATGCAACACATAGCAAAAAAATGGACATTTTGACAATTAAACAATTCCGGGCAGAAAATTAAATTTAATTAATTCTACCCCTACCACCCAATAAACCACCCCTACGCATAACAGTTAAAATTAAATAACACTTAGCAATTTAATTAATTAACTAAAACAATCTACCACAAAGGAGAAGTTTAGAACGTACCTGGGGGGTTGGCGGCCGGGATTAAATCAACCGGCGGCCCGCGGGGAGGGGGAATAAATTAAATTAATTTAAAACCGAAATGCTATAAATAGTAAGTTTATTGAAAACTTACCTTCGCGAAACCCTAGGGGAGCGTTTCGACCTTACCTACCCAAATTTAAAAAAAATTTGGGAATTTTTTTTTTCTGAGAAGTTGACTGACTGTTGACCGGCGTTGACTGCCATTGACTGGCGGTTGACCTGCGTTGACTGGTGGTTGGCTGGTTCCAGCTCCAGGTCTAGCAGCCCAGCAACAGATCCAGCCCAACAGTCCAAGTCCAGCAATCCAGAAGCCCGGTACAACAGCTTAGCATCAGCTCAGCAACCCCAGCAGTCCAAGTCGAGGCCCAGGTCCAGTTCAGCCCATCTAAACAGCCCGTCCAGAAGAGTTCAGCGCCTCACTTGCGTATCATCTACGCTAGGCCTGCGTAGATGAACAGTACCTCGACCAGCAGCCTTCGTCTTTGTCGCGATGAACCTGGGGTCCTGCTTTCTGCGACCAGCTACGGACAACGACCAGTGGGCACCCAAACGACCGGCGGCTCCAGCGGATGAATTCCAGCGAGCAACTTCCTGCGGCGGCGAGGTTCCCGGTGACGGCTGGTGGTGGATTCCGGCGAGCTTTCAGGAGGCGGTGATGGGGCTTCAACTTCGGACGATTTGCCAGCCCTCTGGCCAGCTCTCTGCTCCGGCGACGCGGCTCCTGCAACTATGATGGCGGAGCTCCCAGGTGACGTAACGGGGCTCACCGACGACGACGGCGAAGCTTTGGATTCCGGCGATGGTTTCAAGCTTCGGTCAGAGGAAGTCTATTTCAACCTCCGGGCAGCGAACGGCGAAGAACCAGGCCTTAGGGAACTCCAGGGAGCTCCAATCGATGACGGCGGCGGGACGGCAGCGGCGGACGGCGGCAGACGGCGAACTCCGTCTCTGATACCACTGTTAGGATCGTATACTTCCGTCTCCGGCTCAGGTCTTTCAACACACACTCTCACACACCACACTTAGGAGGAGGCTATAGCACACACTTATTTTTCTCTCCACTTAGACCTCTCTACACTCACACAAAGGAGGAAGAAGAAGTGAGCTCTGCTCTCTCACAACAAAGGATATACTCACGCAGGCTGCTCAACAAAGGGAGAAGCAAGGCTTCTATATAGTAGGCTGGCTGACAGATAGGAAGTCACATGTAAGACCAAGACAAATGGGTCACGGGTGAAGCTATACAAAAAGCCTCACATGATACATAGACAAGGAGTGCAGCGGACAGGAAGCAGAGAAGGGGCCAGCCAAGTGGATTGAGTCAACTACTCAAAATAGGTATATATTTGATCAGGATATATACCAAAGAAAAGGTATCCAAGGGAGAATAAAATAGAGTGTGCAAGCCTCAACAAATAAAGTGGAAGGGAGGCCTTGGTAGGACCAATACCTCCAACATATCCTACATAAAAACAATGTTAAACAGTGCCAAACAGTGTCAAATAGTGTCAAAACAATAAAATTTACCCCTTGGTAAGTTTATTTCCTTAATATGTGTGTAGGTCAAACCGGGAACATCTCAACGGGACGGAGGGAGTATTGTTCTTTCAATTAAAAAAAAAAGATTACACCTCATCCTGAGGGCCCCAACCACCTACCGGACAATTAGATGAGAGAATGTAAGTTGGAATTTAATCATAAGCTAACAAATAGAGAGTGTCGCTCTGATTCTGATACTTGCAGGAATCCTATGCATTTTTAGTAGAGGAATGTTTATTCCTTCCATTCAAAATCCGCCAACCTTTTCAGCTGAGATAAATTAGGATATTTCTAGTATTACAATAAAAAATACGAAGTATTATTATACTCATCAAATGTGACATGTGAGCTTTTATCTCCCATTCTATGACAGATGGGCACGTTAATAAATGTAAAAATCTGGTCAGCTCATTTATATCAAGATTACAGTATTCAATAGATACAACTAGTGTTCCATGCGTGGACCCTCGTTATTACAACTGCAGTCCAACAAGTTTACTTTACGGACACTTGCTTATCGGAGGGAAAAATAATTAAAATATTTAAGGGTATTATACTTTTGTTCACATGAACCAATAAGATTGATGTTGTTGAATTTTTTTTAAATCTAAATTAAAAATGATATAATGATTTGGACCAATCAAATGCATGGTAGGTATGGTACTCCATTTTTTAAATAGGTACCGGAGTAACGGAGTTGTCCCCAAACTTTAAAAGGGTGTGAGGTCCTTAAACTTGCATATGTAATTTAAATATCTCAAACTTTATATAAAAAGTTATTTTAATTAGCACCATGATCTTGTATTATTTTTTTCAAATATATTATTACTTGGTGTTAATTTCATAATTTAAAACATTTTAGCATTCATGGAATACAATTAGCATTCTAAACTTTCATTGTAAAATAAAGAGCATTACCCCCCCCCCCCCCCCCAAACTCTATAAAATTGCAATATTTTCAATTTGATATTTTAAATTATGCAACTAACATCATAAACTTTTGAAATGATGCACGACCATGGTGTTAAAATAACTTTTTATATAAAGTTTGGGATATTTAAATTACATATGAAAGTTTGGTGTGTTTATCTCACACCCCTTCAAAGTTTGGGGTATTTTAATTATTTTTCTCTATTGGAAATAATGGATAAAAATAATTTCAACCATTAGTGATTTGCTTGAAATAGTCCAAAGTATCAATTATCTCAAAAAAATCCTTTAACTATTGAAAAATCTTCTCAAAATACTCCACTTACTCATAAATATTACTATCATGCTACCATACAAATAAAATAGTACCGGTAAAAACAAATATACAAAAATACTTGTATACTCCGTATAATAATGGAATGGATCGGAGCGTTGGAGGAACTAACTAATAATTTTACACTTCTTATATAGCAAGTTGACCGTTTAAACGACACAAGACACCTATAAATGCATATGTACTAAGCTATTCAATTAAATTTCACACCAAAAGTCCAAACCCCGGCCAAAAACAACGTACGTAATTAAAGTTCTGATCCTTATATCTTTCTTCTCTTTATATCTTTCGATTGCTTTCAGTTGGCCCTAGCATTCTTTTCATGGATGCCATACCTGATCTAGTTATCCCTCTCCTCCCTGTCTTCTGCCTCATCTTCTTCTTCATATGGAAAATACTATATAGAAAGAGGCACCAAAGTTGTTACATTTTGGACTATCAATGTTTCAAGCCTTCAGACGACCGAATGCTCACCACAAAATTAAGTGGGGATCTGATTTGGAGAAACAAGACTCTTGGGCTGACTGAGTTGAAGTTTCTCTTGAAGTCCATCGTGAACGCGGGCCTTGGCGAGCGAACGTACGGGCCGAGGGTGGTTATCACCGGGCGGGAAGAGTCCCCGTCCCACGAGGATGCAATCTTGGAGATGGAGGAGTTTTTCTACTATACCATAGACAAGATCTTGAAGAGGCAATGCATCTCTCCCTCAGAGATAGATGTCTTAGTGGTGAATATCTCGATGTTGGCTACAATGCCATCGTTGTCGTCTCGAATCATCAACCACTACAAAATGAGACCGGATGTTAAGGTTTACAACCTTTCGGGTATGGGGTGTAGTGCTAGTCTCATATCGGTTAATTTGGTCGAAAACATCTTCAAAGCTCAAAAGAATTTGTATGCCCTTGTCTTGACGTCGGAGTCGTTAACCCCGAATTATTATGCGGGGAATGATAGATCCATGATCCTCACCAATTGTTTGTTTCGGTCGGGTGGATGTGCTATACTCTTGACCAACAAGGTGGCTTTGAAGCACAAAGCCATGTTCAAGTTGAAGTGTCTAGTGCGCACGCACCACGGTGCGAAAGACGAATCATACGGTTGTTGCATACAAAAGGAGGATGATCAAGGTCGGGTTGGGTTTTTCTTAGGAAAAACCCTCCCGAGGGCTGCAAGCCAAGCTTTTGAGGACAATCTTAAAACGATCGTCCCCAAGATCTTGCCAATCACCGAACTCATTCGCTATGCAATATTGTCATTCACCCGAAGAATGGTCCGCTCCTCGTCGAAAGGTGGACCCCACTCGGGGGTCAACTTCAAGACCGGAGTTGACCATTTCTGCATTCATACCGGAGGGAAAGCGGTGATCAATGGCATTGGTCAGAGCCTTAACTTGAGTGAGTATGACTTGGAGCCCGCGCGGATGACGCTACATCGATTTGGGAACACTTCGGCGGGCAGTCTTTGGTATGTGTTGTCCTACATGGAAGCTAAGAAGAGGCTAAGGAGAGGTGATAAGGTGTTCATGATTAGCTTTGGGGCTGGCTTTAAGTGCAATAGTTGTTTATGGGAAGTTGTTCGAGATTTGGAAGACACAAATGTGTGGGAAGATTGCATTAATAGCTATCCACCTAAAACCCTAATCAACCCTTTCATGGAAACGTTCGGGTGGCTCCAAAATGAAGATCCAGCCAGCCACATTCAGCCTGCCCGATGACTTTCATCTCCATTATTGAATATCCATTATTTTTATTTTTATTTTCATTTCTTTTCTGCTTATATATTATACATAATAGGCCACATATCAATTGATTTTCTCCTACTTCTATACATATAGTGTCGATGATACAATAATTTGAACTTTTACGTTCTTGTGGATTCATTTTGTAAAATTGTCCTAAACTTTCATGAGATCTTGATGTCATCTTGTGGTAGACTGGTAGTTATATAAATAATTAGGACTTTTGGATTAAAATTTGAGTACCATAATTGCATGCATTTAATCTAGAAGTGTGTCTAAAATTATACTCCGTATTATTTAATGTTATTACGTTAATATCGTTTCAAAAAAAATACCTTGGAATAGGTTTTATTTATTATTTAATTCAATTAATTGTATTTCAAATTTTTATGACTATATATATACTATATAGATCATACTTTAATTTATTTATTTCACGTGCTATTTGCACATGAGCTTAAATTTGCTTCTAAAATGGCTGTCAATATTATGTGACATAATATTTTATACGTAGCAAATAACAAGCTAGTGTCTGTAAAGCTAAGGCATGGTACTTAGTACGTAGTATTATGTATGTGCATTAATGCATTATAATGTTGTCGGGTTTTTACAAAATCAGCTTTGTATACTTGGTCAAACATTGTATTGTTTCCGATAAGTACTTATTATGGCTAGACAATAATATGTTTTATATATATACTAATGTATAAAAAAGTGATATTCAATGCGTCCTTGAAATACAAGTGTGATTTGTAGGGTATGAATAAATGGGTTGCTTCTACCTCACACACAAAAACTTGGCTAAATTAAATTGGAAATATGAAAAAATTATCTTCAATCTATAATGTTAGGGGAAAATGATCTGTTATGGTACTCATGATGTTGCTCATAAGTTCATAACACTAAATTATCTAGAACAAAAAAAATGGCTATTTTTTTTACTAATTTATTTAGAACAAAGAATGATCTAAATGGCACATTTAATGCTTCTATATCAATTAAATCTTGCTTATTAGCACCACGGCCATAAAAGCTTATGAGATGCAAATTAATTACGTACGAGTGATTGACCTAATTGGCTAATTCAATTCAATTTAATTTGGTTTCATTCATAACCAATCAATTCATAAGAATGTTCTGACTTCTTAGCCGATTTTGGAACTTCTGCAACATTAGTTCGTGGTTAGTTTCAGTACTGATCTTAGGATGCTTTTTTGCACTGAAATTTGCTGGTTTGGTCTGATCTGGTCTGGTCTGGTAAACGTCTAGTCTCTATGTATTTTATAACTATGGAAGTCTGGTCTGATCTAGTCTGGTCTGGGACTGAAAACCGTCCAAAAGAAAACATCCTTACTTGAATCATTTTACTCAGGTAATCAGCAACAACAATACCATATACTTGTATTAGTCGTATATACTATAGGCGAATTTAATGCTCCTTTTTAGACTTTTGGGTTAACTTTCAAAGCTAGGAGGTTAATTAAAAGTTGAAAATTACGAGGATTTACTGAAAACTAATGAGCTAAATAGACATTTGGCTGATTGAGTAAATGAAATTTTCCTTAAAATGTTACAGAAATAAAAACTTATGAGCATAATATAATTACAATTGCTTTATGTATAGCTAGGGTTGGGCATATGGATTTTGGTTCGGTTAATCCGGTGTTGGTTCGATTCGCTTTGGAATGGTTTGTTAGAATTATTACCAAACAAAAATCATAAGGAGTACTATTTTTTGTTAGGTTCACTGTATATAGTTGAGTTCAGTTCAGTTGAGATTTGTTATTTTATACGTAGTAATAACTAATAACATATGGAGTATAAAGGTTTTGTTGAATTTGTTTAGTTCAATTCAATTTTGTTCGATTTTTTTCAGTCTTAATTCAGTTCGATTTAATGTGGTCTGGAAGAAATATTAACTAAATCAAACCATGACGTTCAAAAAAAAAAAATTAAATCAAACCAAATTGGATATGATCCGATTTCGATTAAGTTTAGTTTATTTCGGTATGGTTTGAATCGATTAAACTAAACGGATATGCTCACTATCCGAATATGTATACCTATAGTCAATACATTGTGAAGTGAACATAGAATTTGTATCCATAGTAAACGTTTCTAATATAGGAACAGAACACGTGATGATGGGCATTTTTATTAGTTGGTACCAGCATTTTAAGTAAACGGTTTAATAAGCTCCATAACACATCCTACCCTATATAGTACGAATTCTGCTGTATATGTATTTATGGTGTCAGTGAAGGCAGCGGGGCGATTAATAGATTGGCAGCAAGCCAGCAAAGTCAAAATTGTACGTCAACTCCCATTCTATTTAATTGCACCATTTTGAGTATATTTGTCAGTGTTCCAAAGAGTTTAGGAAGCATAATATTACGTGCTTTTTATATGTTCTTGCCTTGTAGGATACTACACACTTCGCACATACTAACATACCGGCCTACAGGATCGGAGCAGAGTGAGAAGTTCAGAACACATTTTGAGGTGCCAAAAAGTACATCAAAAAGTAATAAAGTTTTGAAAATTAAGAAAATATATACATTAGGCTACTATTAGTCGTTGGAAGAAAAAAATGAGTTTGTATGTGCTGAAAATGTTGCACAATTGCTCAATCCTTCAAGTTTTGCAGACATGTTCCTTCTCCATAGATATCACCAAGCTATCATTCAGCCATTCATCACCCACTCTACTATGCAAATCCATTTTGGTAATTTTCATGACATAGAATTGAAGATCCTTTGGACTGAAGTAGGTGCAACATGTAAAACTAAAGCTAGCTCGATAAGGCAATATATCAAAGAGAATTCACGATTCATGCCCGTTTGAACCATTTCTTTGACACGATATTGCAAATCTTCAACCTCACAAAATTGACTTTGATTATGCAATATGTGAGCATCTCTCAAGTTGATACTTGACTACGAAATGATCTATAAAGAAAAAGTCGAAGTTAATACTTGAGTACGAAATGATCTATAAAGTAAAAGTAACCTATCTTTGTCAAATCGGGAAAGATAAGTTGGAAATTTGAATCAAAACATGCAATAGTAGCAAGTAACTCTATACTTCTCGAAAACGATTATCCATCTCCATGAACATATATAATGGAGAAGAATTAAAAAAAAAAGTCTCAAAAAACTAATCTAAATTAATAAGGTGATATAAAGACATACCAACTAACAATTGCACCTTGAAAGTGAACTAAATTAGTAATTGTAGTACACATCGCCTACTACAGCCACAAAACAGTACTTTTTCTTCCATATTAACATCGGGATCTTGTGATTTTCACAAAACGAAGTCAACATCTTTAAATACTCTCTCACCCATTATAGATATATATCATAATTCTTGTAATTGAACTTTCATTATTGTAAGGGACGTTTCTTCCAACTCGGGTCTCGATTTTACATTCACAAATGATGATAAACACCACTAACTAAAGTTCGGGGTCGGAAGCGGAGGCACTTGCCCCCCTAGGACCCCCCCTAGGTCCTCCACTGCCACTAAGGTCAACAAAGGGATGACTGGGCATCAACCTTCTACCAATTTCCGGCCAAATCACCTTGAATCCCCACAGAGGAGGAGCAATAGTTTGAATTTGAAGAATGGGGTTTCGGCCAGACCAAAAAATCGGCAGAGAAGGAGAAGGTTTAAATATGCGGAGTACTGATATCAAGAATGGTAACTTACCTTGCAAAGGAGATACACGGTTTATGGCGCAAAGGAAGGAAAGAATCCTCAGAGAGAAACCAATCGGTAAGTTCAAACCAATTGGGCCGGGTATAACAAGGTACATTGGGCTTATGGAAATTGGGGGCCAATACCAACACATTCTCCACCTTATTGGACCCTAGTGGTGTAGAGTCAAAACTCTAATACATACATGAGACTCATCATCGCTGGATTGCCTGAATGATAACAGAGACAAATTCAGACTAAAAGGGTAAGATCACCAGGCAACTTATCTGCAATCAATGTTTAACGTGCGTTTGCACGACAACAACTTTTCCACAGAGAGACATTTAGTGCTCATGTCAGCAGGATTAAACTCTGATAGAATTTTAATCAACTTGATATGACCTGCACTAAGAATATCACGTATAAAATGAAATCTAACATCTATATGCTTAGTTCTATCATGAAAACAGGGTTTTTGCACGGTTGAATAGCAGATTGACTAGCAGAAAAAACACAAATGTCCTGCTTAAGACTACCAATCTCCGTTAGGAGACGCTTAAGCCAAATGGCTTCCTTAAACGCTTCGGTAACGGCCACATACTAGGACTCAGTAGTGGATAAGGCAACTATGGGTTGAAGTTGAGACTTCCAACTAATGCACGACCCGCAAAGAGTAAACACATAAGAGGTAGTTGATTTCCTATTGTCTCTATCGTTACCAAAATTCGAATCCACATATCCACTCAACTTAACACCCTTAGAACCCCTAGTGAAACCCAACACGTGATTAATAGTAGATTTCAAGTACTTAAGAAACCACTTAAGAGCATTCTAATGGTCTAAACTAGGGTTAGACATATACCTACTCAAGCAACTAACAACATAGGCAATGTCAGATCTAGTACTCACCATTAGATACATCACAGACCCAATAGCATTGCAATAAGGCACATATTTCATTTTAGCAATTTCAGGTTCAGTCTTTGGAGACTGATCCTTGCTTAACACAAAGTGAGACACCATAGGGATAGCAACGGGAGTAGCAGAATGCTTGTTACTAGGTCTTTCATTGCAAAGTTCTCACTGAAACGCTTTTGCACACATTTAATGGCGTCACCCAAAGGACTAATAATCAACATATCATCCACATATATCAATAAAAATAGAGGCACAGAAGAAGTATTTTTAAAGTATAGGCACTGTTCTAAAAATCGGCCTAGGCAGCCTAGTCGGCTCTAACTGTAGAGGCCTAGTCGGCCTAGTCGGTCAAACAATCGGCCTAGTCGGTCAAAAAAATTGGCCTAGTCGTCCGCCTAGGCGCTAGGTGCCCCTCAACTGCCTAACTAGCGCCTAGCGAGTTTTAGAACAATGAGTATAGGCAATGGTCACATTCAGACTTATGGAATTCCACTGCCTAGGGGGCTGCTTCAGGTCATACAAGGTCTTGCTAAGCAAACACACATGATCACTCTTCATGGGATCCACAAAGCCCTCAGGCTGAGACATATAAATTTTCTTGTCCAAATCACGATGCAAGAAAGCAGTGGTGATGTCTATT